ATGTTATTTCAATTAAAAGCCTTCTGGAACAGGAAGGTTTTGACCTGGCGTCGAAATATCATCAGTGTCGGCGCCAGGCGAATTTCAGTTGGGAGGGCGTTCCATAGTCTGGGGGCAGCTGCCGAGAAGGCCCTTTGTCTACAAGCCATCCCTCTTACCTCCTTGAGGGATGGCTCTTTCAAAAGGGCCCCCTGGCTAGATCTTAACTGCCGGGTAGGCTCATATGGAAGGAGGCGGTCCTTCAGGTATCCAGGGCCCAAGCCGTTTAGGGCTTTATATGTCAAAACAAGCACTTTGAATTGGGCCCGTGCAGCAACTGGTAACCAAAGTAACTTAAACAGAATCGTCTTGATGTGTTCTCTAGCGGCCTCACTACTCACCAGCCACGCAGCTCGATTCTGGACCAGTTGCAGTCGCCGGACCGTCTTCAAAGGCAGCCCCATGTAGAGCGCATTGCAATAATCTATGCGAGATGTTACCAGTGCGTGTGTAACTATCATGAGACTCCACTCGCACAGGTAGAGCCGTCACTGGTACAATTTCCGCAGCTGAAGGAAGGCGCCCCTGACCACCGAGTCCACCTGGGCTTCCAGAGTTAGACTGGGGTCCAGGAGCACCCCCAGGCTGCGGACCCTGTCCCTTAGGGGGAGTGTATCCCCATTCAGAGCAGGGAAATGGCCCTCGAGCCTGTCCAGCAAAGCACCCACTAACAGCACTTCCGTCTTCTCTGGATTGAGTTTCAATTTATTAACCCTCATCCAGTCCATTATCAGGTCCAGACACGAGTTCAGCACAGAAACCGCCTCACCTGGATTGGTGGAAAATGAGAGGTAGAGCTGAGTGTCATCAGCATATTGCTGACTCCTCAGCCCAAACCTCCTGATGACCTCTCCCAGCGGTTTCATGTAGATTTTAAACAGCATGGGGGACAGTATCGAGCCCTGCCATTAGAGGAAATCCAGGCTTACCTAATATAAAATTGTATTATATAGCTGATCAAATCAGATTCATGGTGGCTATTTTAACTCAATCTAATGAATCAATATGGCCAAAGTTAGAATTTCAGGAAGTTGGTAGTGATCTGGAAAATATTCTCTTTAAACAAAATTATATTAGCATTGTCAGGAAGACTGAAAAATCCTTTCTTAAGAACATGGTGCAAATATGGAAGAGATACAGAAAAATATTTACCCATTAATACTGTATATCCATTATATTCACTAATAGAATTAGTGAGTTTTCCAGAGAATTTAAAAGGAGATTTAGAGAAGATGCTAAAGAAGAAAGAGGTTATTAGAATAAAAGATTAATGCTTAATAAAGAACAAATAAGAGAAGTGTTGGAATGGAAAATTTATCATGGTTTAATGTTATTCAGCTGGAATGTTGTAATACAGCATGGGTAGAAAGAAATGATAAATGTAGAGAGTTTACAAAATTTGAAGAATAGAAAAAGAAAACAGGAGTAAAAGAATGAAGGGGATGATACTTTTAATAAAATTTATAAAATATTAATATAAGTAGAGGATCAACAAGAAGTTTTAAAGATGTTATGGGAAACTGATTTGGGAGTGGAAACAAATATGGAATAGTGGAAAAATATATTGAATAAAAAAATCTTCAGATATACTGTATGTGTGTCAGAATAAAAGAAAAATTTTACAAATAGATCTGGTGAAAACAAATAACACTAGTGAAACTGAAATGCATGGTTAAAAATATTCTAAGATATGTTGGAGGTGTGATCAGGAAATAGGACTCTACTTTCATATGTGCTGGGAATGAGAATATATAATGATGTTTTGGTAGTTTTTAAAGAGATAAGTGAAATCTTAGTGTTCAATTTAGGACTATATCCCAAAATAACACTTTCATCTATATTTGAGAGGGAACAATTGAATTTAATAATGGAAAAATTGATTACAAATCTAGTAACAGTGGCTAAATTAATAATAGCAAAGAATTGGAAAGTTTAGTGCGATAAATCTGTGAAGATTTATCAGTCACCCAAGTGAGGTTATCTGGAAGTTGATGTCATGGCAACTGGAGTCCACCCCTTACAGCCACTAAACAGGAAAATGGCCAGGCACAGAAGGGGCAATGGTTCAGGACCACAATCAGCTTTGTTCCTTCATTTGAAGGACAAAAGACATCCATTTGATGCCCAAGATGTACTAATCTTGGACTGAGAAGATAGGTAATTTGAAAGAGGGGTCAGGGAGCGGAAGTTGATGTCATGGCAACTGGAGTCCACCCCTTACAGCCACTAAACAGGAAAATGGCCAGGCACAGAAGGGGCAATGGTTCAGGACCACAATCAGCTTTGTTCCTTCATTTGAAGGACAAAAGACATCCATTTGATGCCCAAGATGTACTAATCTTGGACTGAGAAGATAGGTAATTTGAAAGAGGGGTCAGGGAGCTCGTACAGTACATCCATTTGATGCCCAAGATGTACTAATTTTGGACTAAGAAGATAGGTAATTTGAAAGAGGGGTCAAGGAGCTTAATTTGAAAGAGGGGTCAGGGAGCTCATACATGTGCATATAGAAAATCCCTCACTCAACAGGGGTTGAAGCCTTAGATACAATGTCTCCTATTTATCATGCTGCCCTTTCATCCATCCCCATAAAGATCAGGACCACATACCAGAAAGACCACTGTTAATGACTGTTAACAACCCATGACAAATGGGTAGAGAAGGACTGCAGAAGTGGGATTATCCGTCACCCCCAGTCCTTTCTCTATCTAATGAGCCTATTCAGATCAGGGGGAAGTGAAACCAACCTGGAGGATATGTCGGGGGTTTGGAAGTGAAACCAACCTGGAGGATATATCGAGGGTCACCTACCAACTCACCTCGGACTGAAGAAGCTATTTAGATGAGTAGTGAAACATATCAACCTAACAAGAAAGAAGTCTGGTTGCCATGACTCAACTTCCAGATTAAGTGCGATGAATTGGCATGTAATATTAAAGTAGGAAAAGGACTGTCAAGTGAGAAAATGCTTGGAGATATATGGGGAGAATTTACTGATTTCGTACTAACAAAGAGGAAGGGTTGTGTACTTTTGCAAGAGTCAGTGTACTTCTAGAAGGGGATTGGGGCTCCATAAAAGGAAGGAAATAGAATATCTTCATTGGTCCAGGTTGGGGAGGGAAGCACATTAAGTGTATGTGTTTTTTCTTTAGTGTTGTTTTTTTCTGTAATTTAAAAAAACGATTAAAAAAAAGAAACCATTGCTCTTACAAAAAGGGAAAAGAAAGGAAAAAAAAGAAAACAGCCTGCAGTTTGCACCGCTGAAACTAGCGACAAAATGCTTCACTGTGGATTGCTTCTGCTCAAAGTTCTAGTCAGTCAGCCCTTATTTCTGGAGGTACTTGGTTGTGTCCCCTACTCCCTCTGCTTCACCAACTGTCTCATATTTCTTCATGTTCCCTGGAGCACGCTGATACTTCCTTCTTCTTTTTCAAGTAGCCCTCTTCCAGTCTATATAGCTATCTTGAGTAGCGTGAGTTTGCTGCCAGTCCACCCGTGACCAGGATAGAAACCCTCTCTTTAGCTTTGGTATTTTCTGCTCCTCACCACTCCTCACTGTTCCCCCCCCCCATCACTGACCGTTCTCGTCACCCAGTTCAGCATTTGTCCAGCTTTTCCCTCTGCTTATTCCCTTCTCCTCATCCCCTATGGTAGGGGTCTCTTTTTCAGAAGCCTTGCAGAGGAATTTTCTATTTTATTTATTTATTTTATTTATATCCCGCCTATCTGGTCGGGTCAGGACCACTCTAGGCGGAAGAATACCTTCCTTGAGCCCCTCGGGAGAACTAAATCGCCAGGTCTCCCACCAGCGTTGTTTCTCGTGATTATGGAACATCTGGCATGTGGAGACTTAGGTTGATACAACAGACCACAGACATGTTTTAATTGATTAAAATTAATTAATCCATGAAAAGGGCAAAATAACCGTAAGATGCACACCTCCAGGGTCACGTAATAATCCAATGCCAAATTTTAGGTTCGTGGTTTCAGTTCTGGAGGCATGTTTGAAACAGCTACCCAGCCAGATATATCTTCGTGTTTATTATCATGATTGAAATAATTGAAAATGTGACCTAAAATTCCTTTATAGAGAGGCTTATATATTGCAGAGTAATTCTTAGGAATCATAATAGTTTATGCTTCTTGCAGAACTGAGGATGAAGTGGTGCATCTTGTTCAAAGAGGTAAATATTATCTTGCTGTTCTTTTGGCACTTATCATAATCAAGTGGATGGTGTTGTCTAGCTGAATCTCAGACCCATGCAGTCCCACCTTGCCTTGAAGCAGATGTGGCTGCTTTTTGTTATTGCTAAAATGCAGCACATTAACCTCTATGAATGCACAGAAATAGCAGATACTGTCTTGCACTTAGTCAGGCTAGAGGACCATCCACTATATTGCCTACAGTGCTGAATGAATGTTGCATTTATTCAGCACTGTGGAATGAATGCAACAGGTCAGCAGGATGTCAGGATCTGAACTTTTGCATTTTAGTTCCATTTGTCTTGCACTGTTAAAAATCCCTGTCCCACTCAAGCATGTATCTATAAATCTGACAAATAAAGTAGCAGTGTCCATGAAAGTTTATGACAAAATAAAAGTCGTTATTTTTAAGCTACCACAAGACTTTTTGGTGCTTCTGCTGCCACAGGTTAATGGCTCTACCCTCAGGAAATGTAAATGGTGCTGCTTTTGCATGCAGTATATACATGATCGGTCTCCTCAAAAAGATATTTTCTCTCATTATACATTGCAGAACATATCGTGTGTGCCTCATACTCATTTTTTGGCAGGAAAATGATGAGGCCAATGTTCTGTGCACTCTTGAATTTCTCCTCGAATGTTACACAGTGCACAGGAATTTGTGTAGCAGACACACAGAATTTACATTGCTCATGAGTTTATGTTGAGGGTCATTAGTAGAAGAGAAACTAGAAAACTATGGCTTGAAATAGTAATTGTACGTGTTCTATAAATTTTAGGAGCTTTTTAGTTGCTTATCCTGATCACTATGAAGAGTTAAATTATATTTTTTGGAATAATGTATCACATTTTTTCAAGGGAAACATTTCATAGTGCTTTGCCAAAGCTTATACCATTTCATTCAAGCAGTAAAATTAGCGCAAACATTTTATGTAACTATGCAACAGATCAGCTTTAGTATGCATTTTAACATGCTCCACACACATTACCTTTATTACAAACAGATTATATCTCCATTTGTATGTGTGTGTTTGTCTACATTTTAAAGATGACGAAAAACAACTGATGAGTATAGAACCAATTCCTGCAGAACTCTTGTATGAAGCATATAAGAGGAAGATAGCAGATGAAGGAAGACTTTTCCTGGATGAATTTCAGGTTGGTCCTCTGTTGAAAAATGTGTATGTCAGAAATATAAGTATTGGTAATTGGTGGTTTCATTTAATGTGGGATCAAAAACAGCAACCTTTTTTTAGTCTGGGGCCAACATCCAGTTTGAGGAGGGTGACAGGAGCCACCATCAAACAATGCTAAGGGGATAAGACTGAGCCCAACCGTAAGAGGCATGACTTAACCATAAGACTTAATGACTAAACAACAAATAGTGAAGGCATTCCCTTCATAATAATTTCTGATGCTTTTCAGAAATCTGGTTCCAAATTTAGACCTGGCTCTGTTTTTCTCTCTCACCTCTCACCCACCCACCCCCATGCTGGATTTTGCACTCTTACCCATTCCATATGCAGAATTGATGCTTTGTACAGCACCATACATCCAGATGATACCTTTTTCTTATATGATACTTGTTCACAATCATTCTGGGAAATTTTAGTCCAATTTTAATACCTGTTTATTTAGAAGTAAAGTCTCAGTAGTTGTCCTAAGTGTGAAATGACTTGCAAGTTGCAGTCTTAAAACTGGAATCAGGAAATTGTTATAAAAATTAATCATTATTACAGAGCAGCGTCCCTTAGACATCCGTATGTATTTAACAGAATGTGTTGTATTGAAGTCTTTTGTCCTTTACAGAGCATTCCCAGAGTTTTCAGTAAATTCTCTATAAAAGATGCCCGCAAATCTTACAACCAGAACAAAAACCGTTACGTCGATATCCTCCCTTGTAAGTATATGTTGTAAACCGAATTTTTATGTCATGTTTTTCTTAGTTTTCATACTTTCTTAAAACTATCCAAACTGAAGGTTTTGATTTAGCATTCATGGGTCCTGATTTCTCCCTCTCCCAACTATCTATATAAAAAGATGACTACAACCGTGTGGTGCTTTCTGGGATGGCCAACGATCCAGGATCTGACTACATCAATGCAAGCCACATTGACGTGAGTAGATTTTGTCAACAACATTCCTAAGGTCCAAATGAAAATGTTGCTCACAATCTTGTAATCCTTACACCTGCTAAAAGCTGATGCATAACACGGACCAGTTTGATGGAATCGTTAGAGTGGGAGTGGGCAACTTTAGGAGGTCTAAGAAACAATTTTCTGCCCCATGATCCTGAAAACATTCCAGAACTAAAGAAGAAGGAAATTGAAAGACCACTTCAGTTTTGAGAAACTGTAATTTTTTGGTGTTAAATGTTGAGCGTTAAGATATTACTTAATTGACTTTGCCTTTCACTGGCTCGGAGTCCTGGACTGCAACTTGGGAGATGTGTCTCATATCTGCACTGAGTCATAGCATTCAGTAGCTAACTTTGGGTGGATCTCTTTTTCTCTGCCTGACCAACCTCACCACGTGGTTGTGAAATTAAAGTGGATTGATGTACAGCCATCACAGGCCTCCTTGAGCAGCCTGTGGTGAATATCCGAATATTAAATACTCTGAATATTATTACTAAATACATAGAGAAACGAGTTGAGAAACTGTAATTTTTTGGTGTTAAATGATGAGCGTTAAGATATGACTTAATTAAAAAGAAAACCGCAAGTCCTGGAGGCTTGCGGAGATGTGTCTCATATCTGCACTGAGTCATAGCATTCAGTAGCTAACTTTGGGTGGATCTCTTTTTCTCTGCCTGACCAACCTCACCACGTGGTTGTGAAATTAAAGTGGATTGATGTACAGCCATCACAGGCCTCCTTGAGCAGCCTGTGGTGAATATCCGAATATTAAATACTCTGAATATTATTACTAAATACATAGAGAAACGAGTCAAGCAAAAACAAAAGAAAAAGAAAAAATAAAGAAGACAAAAATGTTGTGCCAGCTAAAATAATGTACTGATTGGGATATTTTAATGTGAGCTTTCATTGACAAATCCACTTCCTCAGGTAAAAGAATGGGGCTACGTGGCAAATATTTATAAATTTATACACGCATCCCGAAAAAAAAATGACTGTTTTTTTCAGGGCACAATTTGATGATAGTGCAGCATTTCACACCTGGCAATGGCCTTTAGGACCCCTGTTAATATTCAGCCCTCACCCCACCCCAGAGACATTGTTCTGTAAACAATGACAATAATTGGTGGCTGAATTAATCCTAGGCAATAGTTAACAACAAGAAACTATGCTTGAGCATTTAGTGGCAAAATAATAATCCATGACTTTCTATTACAGGGTTTCAAAGAACCAAGAAAATACATTGCTGCGCAAGGTTTGGTATTTTCTGCCTTTTCTCATTTTTTTTCTTTCATCTCCTTAAATCTTCCAGAAAAAATATAATTAATATTATATAATTGATTTGTCTGCATATGGAAAGAAATTAACAGTGACGGTGTCACACTGGTGTGGTAGAAGAAGACAGATGCCACAACTGGCAATATTTCTTCTTTATTTAAAAAATATATATTGCTTGTATTGTCTTTTGCTTTCCTATTCCACAGTCCCAAACTAGAGCTGTGTAAAATAATAGATATTTGATATACCCAAAGCTAGCTAACTTCCATTGATTTTTCCAGGGAGAGTCAAACAATTTTTTAATGTAGGCATGAAAATTGTTGTCCCATTTTTGCACACAAGAATGAGATGCATCCACATTTTTTAGTCTCACCCACAAGATGGGAAGATGCTCACTGTTGGTTTCCATGAATGTTTCCATATTTGGAAGAATGATTTTGCACATACTAGGCAGATGTGCAAAGTTTGATGCTCCCTTTCTGCATGAAGCAGAATTATGACACATGTTGTCTTTCTGATCAGTCAACCAGCCATTCTGTGTTTGTGTATTTTTACGGGTCCATGCATTGTGCATGCACACATACATTTAGGTTGATAAAGGAATAATACTGTACTTTTACAGAGAGAGTTTTGTACAAAACGTGGCAGTCTCAATGGGGGAGGGGAGAGCATTAGAGATTAGAACTCTCCGGGGGAGATTCCTCAATAGCCTGTCTTGACATGTTCAGACAGCCTAGTCAAATGAGAAATTTTGTGATAATTCTTCACATCCCAATTTCTTGTTTATTGAATCAAAATCAATGGTGGCTAAAGGAAGTTGTTTTTGGCTGAAGTTTCAAGAAATGGAAATAATCTTTCTTCCAGGTCCCAAAGATGAGACAACTGATGATTTTTGGAGGATGATTTGGGAGCAGAAAGCAACAATTGTTGTCATGGTGACCCGCTGCGAGGAAGGAAATCGGGTAAAAGAGACAGCAGAGTATATTATTATCTAAATAAATAAAACAAGCATATATGTATAGAGTTATATATACGTACAATTCCTGTGGCAAATCATTCTGAAGGCAACATGCAATATAAGAAAAAAAATACTAGTCTTTCTTGTTTGCTTGGACAAACGTAATTTGTCACAGATTTGGTGACAGGAAAAACGCAGAGTTATCGAAGACACAAGTTTCTTCTTTTTCAAGACGGTTATATTTACAGTATTTACAGGTATTTACAGGCAGGCATCACATCAGCATGTCAGGAACTCTTTACACAAACTGGCATAGCGGATAGCAGCAAATGGTGAAGAAAGAAGAGAATGATACACAGACACTGTTCACTTATATACATATACATGGCTTCTCTAGTCCAATCAGAAGACACATGACTTCATCTTCTGCACCTGGTGTCTTCTTATTTCGAGACATTGCATCATCTTCAGAGTGACTCAGCATACTCACATCTGTGCACAGTGGCAGCTCGTTAATAATACATTTATTCAGGTTCAGGCCTACAAAATTTCTATATTCTGAAATTTATCCTATTGTATATCTTCAAATGAACTAAAGAAGAAGAAAGCAAAAGTTAGGCTCCTGTTATAGTTGTTGTTAATTGAGAACCATAAGTTTTTCCCCCTCTACAGATCAAATGTGCCAAGTATTGGCCAACCATGGAGGAGGGGAGTGCGTCTTATGGGGACATTGTTGTGAAGATAAATGAATGCAAAATGTGTCCTGACTACATCATTCAGAAGTTGCATATCACAAACGTACGTAAAAATAATAGCACTCAAAGAGTTCTATGTATGGCATGGCACTCCTTACAATCTTGAAAGATACGTGATAGTATTATCTTTGCATTGAGGAAAGAACAGCTTGCCTATTATCACCTAATGAATTTATATCTGAGATGAGATGTGAACCAACTTGCTGGCTGAAATGCAATTGCTTGGTGTAATAGTAGTAGAAATGTGCACTTGAGTAGGCCTATTAAATTAGTGAGGGTTAGGGAGTCAACTCCTCCATAGGTTCCATTGATTCAAATTGGCCCACTCTAGTTGTGATTTACTATTCCAAAGTTGAGTTGCAACTGGAGTAGGCCCACTTGACTCAGTGGCACTTAGAGAAGAGTTGATCATATCATCCTTATGAAGGCATTATTGCAGTTTTACCTGACTCTCCTTCATTCTTAAATTATATTGCTGAAAAAAGAATGCTTGTAGTAACCAGGACTGGAATTGAGTATAAAGGACTCTGAGGTCCATTCAGCTTCAGCAATCAACAAATTCTGTGTCTGCTGCATCAAGGTCTGGCAATGGATCTTGGGATTCTAATGAAAAACAGTGTATAGAATATGCAAGTCTGAAGTCTGTCTATCCTTGAATGGTACAGAGCGTGCCTTCTAACGAAGTTGTTAGACTGTAGAAATCGGTCTGCATTTTCTTTTCATTCTGGACGAGCACTATCAAGCCACAGAATGTAGATCTCCTCTTGCTAACTGGGTTGTTTCACTATTTGTTTGCTTTTTAATCTTTGATGTTCCACTGGCTCTATTAATATTAACACACATGCCCTTTTGTCCAGAGGAGGGAAAAGACAACGGGAAGAGACGTGACCCACATTCAGTTTACAAGTTGGCCAGACCACGGAGTACCTGAGGATCCCCATCTCCTTCTCAAGCTACGCCGCCGCGTTAATGCATTGAGTAACTTTTTCAGTGGTCCAGTTGTGGTCCATTGCAGGTAAGATTTAAGTGTAAAACAGGCTTGGCTCATAATGTCTCCTAACAGAGACTTGGTTTGCACAGGTAGTAAGATCAAATACGAGAAAAGTTGCTTGTTCGACTATAAATCCCAGAACTCCTCAGCTAAACATTTAGAAGTTGCAGTAACTTCTCCCATCTTTTAGCATGGTTTACACAGTAGATTAGATTAGGTATCCTTCAGTCTCAACAGACTATGGTAACGTGCTCTGAATAGAGGACTTAGAACACCGTCTAGTGTGGTTGACGGTAGACTGAAGTACTAAAATGCTTGACTATTCCATCTGTACTCCAGTACAACGTCACCCATGTATCACATTTAAAATGAATTAACACATCCAGTACAACGTCACCCATGTATCACATTTTAAAATGAATTAACAGTGAGAAAGATACCATTCTTTGCAACCAATTCTCCAAATGGTGAGATAGTTCATGGATTCCAGTGCTTACCCAAGATCAGCTGGAACTGAGGATACTAGAGACTTGCTAGCATTTAGTGATATTTATGTATATCTGCAGTGCAGGTTTCACAAATATGTGAGATTGAAGATATGGAGTGTTTGTAACTTTATGCTCAGACACATATCTCAGAATTAATAGTAATCCCATGCGACCTTTTTGGGGGAATCAATGCCTTCCGATTCTTCTTGAACCACTCAGCTCTTTGACACTCTGGGACAATACATTTCATTTTATTTGACTCGGACAATAGGCTAAATAATTACAGACATTTGCTCTCTGAAACATAAATGGCTTGTCCCCTCAACATGTTAGGAACATACTGTATAGTCATTACAGATTATTAGGAATATTATGCATCTAAAGAGCAGGAGTGCCGGCTTGGGGTTTCCCCATTGCGAAGATCGGGTATGTTTCCGTATAGCGATCCCGAAAAAGGGATCGCTATACGGAAACATCGTTATACGGTGCACTCGCTAAGCGAGGCACCACTGTATTATGCATCTAAGGAGCAGGAGTGCCGGCTTAGTTTGGTTTGCTTGATTTCTTTGAATAGCCTGACAAGCAAATGTGTTCCACTTGATTGCAAGTCTCAGTTACCAACAGCCTGATGGATCGTTCTGTTCTCTCTTTTCCTTTTGTCCTCCTTCCCCTTTGTCCTCAGTGCTGGTGTTGGGCGCACTGGAACTTATATCGGAATTGATGCAATGCTGGAGGGATTGGAATCTGAAGGAAGAGTGGATGTCTATGGCTACATTGTAAAGCTACGGCGTCAGCGATGCCTTATGGTTCAAGTAGAAGTAGGTTTCCAGAACTTTCTTTGTTTACACATAATTGTGTAACTGTTGTTCAGTTGTGGCCATCTTCAGATGCACAAAGGGAAGATGCAAGGAAGATTAAGAATGATTGTATGTCATCAGGTCAATTCTGATTTATGGCAATCCTTTCCAGGGTTTTCTAGATAGAGAATACACAGAAGTGGTTTAGCATGTCCTTCTTCTGGGGTTTCCCCATGGCTACAAAGGCTGGCTCTGCCACTGGGAGACACAGTGGAGAATCAAACTGCCAACCTCTGGCTCCACAGCTGGGTACCTAAACCACTGAGCCAACTGCAAGGAAGATAGAAGATACAATTTTGTATAAAAAATTCTTTGGCTTGAAGAGAAACCAATGTATTTTCTTCATATGTGAGTGCTAGAGCAAAGGTGGGGAAGGCGTGTCGTTGGACTACAGTGCCCATGTTGCAGTTCAGCATCATGTTGGTAGCCACATAATCCTTGCCTCTGTGCTATAACCATGCCAGCACTCTCTTTGGCCACAACATTGTACAGTCAACAAGGAATGCTAATCAGTTCATTCAGAAAACATTCATTCATTCATTCATTCATTCATTCATTCATTCATTCAACTTTTACCCCACCCATCTAGATTCAAACGAATCTACTCTGGGTGGCATACGGTCCGAACAATATAAAACAAGGATTAAAACAGACAATATCCAAATAAAAAAGAGAAGTAAGCAAAGTCCAAGTTGGGAAAACACAGGGTATTTAGTAAGCATATTAGCATTTCCTTCTCATTTTATTTACTGTGTGCATGTTAGTTCAGTCTGTGGACCTCATTAAAGAACAAGACCATGCAGGAAGAGGGGAGGTTTAAACCTACCTTAACTTCATTTCTACACACAAAAAAATTTAAAAAGAAGAGCGGAGCCCCCTTAGCACATCTCTGTTAATGTTTTTCCTTTTTATTGAAATTATTTTCATTTTGTTTATACTGTGTTGGTTATTTTGTTGTATTGGTCCATTTTATTGCATTTTTTCATTTTGTTTATACTGTGTTGGTTATCTTGTATTGTTCCATTTTATTGCATCGTTTTGCTTCATATTGTATTATTTTATTGTACTGTGTAAACCACCCAGAGTGGCCTGAGTTGCCAGATGGGTAGTATAGAAATTAAATAAATAAATAATCATGGATGAGTGGAACGTAGGAAAATAAAGGGCTGGGGCCGGGGCATGAAATTGGCATGCACACCTCCTGTGTCTGTGCATGGTGACCCTATTAGCTTGGTTTCACATGTTTATTTACAAGTAAGAAAGGAAGTCTCCCCTGAACCCTATGTATTTAGTTTCAGCATGAGTTTTCCATCATCATGGAAAGTGCATTGAACTACATATATGTTACATTTTTGCATGAATAGGCCTCTTACATGATGTCTTGTAAAGTGCACATGCATTCAGAAGTAACATATTAGTTGGCGCTTCGTTTCTCTTTGTCTTCCCTCTTGGGAGGTCTAAAAGCATCATGCTCTCAATTTACCTAATTTTTCCCTTGAATCAAGAGAACATATTCCTAGTGAAAGATCTGACCAGTTTGCATTATGTTATTTTATAATACCTAAGAGGTTTAAAACTGGCTGGAAAGCTCCATATCTTAGGGATCTGGCTGCGGAGCTAGAAATTGGGATCAGTTCCCCACTGTACGCCCCAGAAGAGCCAGCCTGTGTAGCCTTGGGCAACCTGCAGAGTCACAGGGCACCTCCAGAAAAAGGGAATGGCGAATCGCTTCTGAGTAGTCTCTGTGGCATACAGCTCTGCTCTCACCTGTCTGTCACAGCTGGGCAGGGGAACCTCAGCCAATGAGAGGATGGAGGGTGATGCAGAAGGGGGAGGAGCTGGATTATATAAGGTGTGTGTGATGTGTGAAAGGGGGAGTTTTGGAGAGTTTGAAAAGATGAGAGAAGTTGAGTGAGATAGATTTGAGAGAGATAGTCAGTGAGGGAAAAGTCTGTGTGATTTAGAAATTGAGAAACGTGATTAACAACTTGATTTATTACCTGTGATTCGCCCTTTTTATTTTGTACAAATCAATAAACACTTTATTTGTTTGAAAGAAAAACGTGTCCTTTCTGAGTACTTTCTGGTGGCAGCAAGTGAAGAATAGTAGTGAGCACTCTTGGAGGCCAGTAGTGGTAGAGGCTTGAGAGTGGCCCGCTACAGTCTCCACCAAGAAAACCCTGAAAAAGACTGCCATAAATCAGAATTGACTTGACAACATGCAATTATTATTATAAGAGTTTTAAAATGTTTGCCTCAAAGATCTAAACAGTGGTCTCTGGGCAAGCATGTCTTTTCATATGAGTGTGTCATATTGGCCCCTCATCTCCTCTATGTAATCTAGAGAATGCATTTACTTTTGTTACCATGGCAGAGGTTCAGTTGTGTTTTATTTGATAACCTTTGCTTACTCAGCAATAAGCTCCACTGAATTCATTAGTCCAACTACTTTTGAAAAAGCAGCCTTACTCACATCTGTTTAGAAGTACATCCCACTTAACATGCATAAACAGGGTCTCTGTTTGAGTAACTTTATTCTATATAATGTCATAATTATAGAATGTGATATATATATATATAACTTTAAAATTCCATTTCCCCCTCTTTCTACACTCTATACAATCTCGAATCTTGGGGAATCTCAGACGCAGTACATCTTGATTCATCAAGCGCTGGTCGAATACATTCAGTATGGTGAAACAGAACTCAACACCTCAGAACTGCACAATTGTCTTAATCACCTGAAGAAGAAAGATCCTCCCAGTGATCCTTCTCTCCTGGAAGCGGAATTCCAGGTAAATGACTTATCACCGGTGTGCTATCCCATCACCACTACCAACTGCCAGTCCAGTTGCCTTTTGCACATGGAAAATGACAGATAACATCTTCCTCTTCGCCTGATGCAGCAAAATGTCCCAGGCCAGCCGTTTTCTAAACTCTTGGAGGTTAATGCAGAATATCGTTACCAAAATCACAAAATTTTGCTGTTTAGAATGGGAGCATTCTCTACTTCTTGGCAGCTCATTAGCAGGCATATGTCCTTACATTTTGATGCTTCTTCTGGGAGATACATTGGTAAGACAAAACTAAGAGGGCATCATGCTGAGAGATTATGTAGATCTTTTTTAATATATATATATTATTTCAAATGCTTCATTTTTATTGTTTGTATCTTTGTCTTTAGAGGCTACCTTCCTACCAGACCTGGCAGACACAGAGAGCTGGCAAGAGAGAGGAAAACAGAAGTAAAAACCGGAGTTCAGCGGTTATTCCATGTGAGTCCTAGAAAGGGAAAGTACACAGACACTCGAAGGCTTCGCTTCTCTTCTCTTCTCTTCTCTTCCCTTCTTTCCATTTTTGAAAATTATAAATTAAAAAAGAATCAGGTACTCCATATCACACTTAGATGTTTTGCGGAGAAATTACATCTGAAACATTCTTTCTTCTGCAGCAGAATCAAAGCCTGTTATCCATCCGTATCATTTCCACAGATTCATGTACAAAATTGCTCTTTAGAATACTTCAGCTATCTCTCTCATTTCTTGCCACTAAGAAGTGAGTGCCAAGCTATATTTCTGTTTCCTTTAAAATTTTACAAATAAAAGTCTCCCATCCTACACTTCAAATCTGGATCAGGATATTGCCAAGGTGTTGAGCTTAACCCTGTCCTTCCAAGTCATGTAGCCAAAGAAAATTTGCCTAGATCCTCATATTTCCATTGATTGGAATAATATACATGTACACATATGCAATTTTTAGATCACTGTATTTTAATTGGATTTTAATTGTTTTTATCTTTTTACTGTATTTAAATTGTTGTAAGTCGACCAGAGACCTTTAGGTAGTGTGGGCAGCATACAAGTCAAATAAATATAGATAGATAGATAGATAGATAGATAGATAGATAGATAGATAGATAGATAGATAGATAGATAGATAAATAAATAAATAAATAAATAAATAAATAAATAAATAAATGTTTGTGGTCAAGATTAATAGTGGTCTTGGGGATTGTTTGTCCTTGGGAATATAGTGTGGTAGGGAACTGGGGGGCCCATTACCCCACCCATTCTGCAGTCATAGTCTGGTGAGGAGAGAGATCTTTCTGCACATTTAAGGACAGTAGAAACAGTCACACATCTCCGTCATGTGTGCCTGCAAAAGTACACAGAACAATAGACTTGACTGAGAGATGCAAGGAAGGTGATACAGTACCTTTTTCTTTATGTATACATGCATCCCATGCCTTACACGTAGCTGGTATTTCACAGATTTTAAAATGGTAGCATGAGAGAAGCTTGGGTGGCAAAAATGAACAAGCCCCTTCAGTTTTGGGGTGTTTTTGCAGTTAAGAATATAAGAAGAGCCCTGCTGGATCAGGCCAAGGGTCCATCTAGTCCAGCTTCCTGTATCTCACAGTATCTCACAGTGGCCCCACCAGATGCCTTTGGGAGCACACGAGACAACTAGATACCTGTCTCCTGATACCCCTCCCCTGCATCTGACATTTGGAGGTACCTTCCTTTTAAGCCTGGAGATTATACATCACCTTCTGGCTTGATGAGGACCAGGGATTCAGAAGTGGAGCAGGAAAGAGGAGCAGTGGGTTGAAGGTATAAAGCAAGGGATGTCACCCTGGAAATGTTCTGGTTTGAAGACCCAGGCATAAAGAGCACAGGAAATGGTACTGAAGATGTGAAGGTGAGTGGGACATTAGACTGAGAAACAGGGGTAGAAAGTCTGGTAGAGAAACTAATATAAAGTAGTTCATTCTTGAAGTTCATACAGTATTGCAATAAAAGTTCACATCGCAATTGAAAAAAACACCAGTGTCTCTGTTCCCAGACCTTTGGAAAATTATTATTATTTTTTTAATATTATGTTGGTCATGTGCTGATTTGAATAGTGTCCTCCTGGTCAGCTGAGATGGCTCTCCACCCTACTAGGAGAAATGTTAAAGAGTTGTATCTTTTGTTGACTTGTGCTCTGTGATAAAGTAAGGACTGCTATTAACTCCTGTGAAGATGCCTTACTGAAAGTCTTGTTTTCCTCCCGACATCCTTGCCATGTAGATGACTATAACAGGGTATTATTCAAGCATGAAGAGGAAGGGAGCAGAGAAAGTGAATGTGATGCAGATGAATCCTCTGATGAGGATAGTGACTGTGATGAGGAACCCAACAAATACATCAATGCATCTTTCATCCACGTAAGTGTGTTTGGATAATTTACTTACCTCTCTAAAGTATGTGTAGTTGATATTTTCAGTGGTCTGTTGTTGATTTTTTGATATCATTTTCAGTTTCTTGTTAATTGCACCAAATAATAAACAATTTTCTCTTTCTTTTCCAAATTAAAGGGCGGGCTTTAGTGTTACCAGAGCTCCTAAATGCCCAGTATCGAAAGGAAGGCATGATACAGCCATCCGCCAGTATAATTCATGTGGCAAAAAAAAAGCCTGGAATTGTAACAGTGATCATGGTAGAATACACACTGTTCTTTATTTATGGCCATTTATACTTTCCTCTTCGTTTCATGTTTCCTCCCCTTGAAACCCCAGATGTTGTTGGACTAGATCTTTGCCATTCTTGCCAGCTGGCATAATGGGAGTTGTAGTTTGCCTCTGGGATCCACAATTAGAACCAATGAGAGGCTCATAGAGGCTGTGAGTAAGATCACGATGTTTCCTCAGATTTCCCTCTCAGACCCAAGAAACACATTTGAGTTTCCGCCACATCCAACAGCCAGTTGTGAGCTACTGGGAAGCCTGTAGCAGGTCATGATAGTGAATGCCTTTTCTGTCAACCTGGAAGTTTTAGTTAACTAGAACTGGGAATGATAGACTTCTTTTGATGCTGGGTAACCTAGGAGTCATCATTGCATCTTGTGGCAATAAGTTTCATAAATGTCATTATGTACTACTTTCTCTTGTCTGTTCTGAATCTATTGCTGATCTATGAAGAATTTTGTAGTACCTTAAAAAGCAATAGGTTCTATTTGGCACAAACTTGTATAGACTTCGGATCACTTCTACATATCTCAATCCAGGATTTCAGATAAGTCATCTCTCAGGCAACAATATCTCCAATATCTACCCAAGCTGGGTATTGAGGAGCAATCAACCATAGAATAAACCCAGAACAGATGACCACAGAGCACCATGTGTTATAACCCACAACCTCCTACTAAAACCACTCAAAAGTATCATCGTTGAGCCCATGTTGGACAATAACACATCTTCTGCAAGGGCTGGCTTTGTTCTCCTCTGATTTTTACCAGCTGAATGGCAGATGAATTACAATAGAACTCAAGCTATTGTGCCAAATGTGGTCTTCAGTTCAAGAGAGGAAAATTCTACCACCCATACACAAATTAGTTGATTGTATTATTAGTGCCTTTGTGTTCATTATTATTGTTGTTGTTGTTGTTGTTGTCGTTGTCATTGTTATTGTTGTTAATAATAATTAAAGAAAAACAATAAGAACAATACTAACATAAAGTGTGTATGCATACATGCTGCACACTAACACAAAAATGTTCCCCCCTGTGGCACCATCACCCTCAGAACCAGATAAGAAAATATTTCATTTTAATCTCTTTTCATCCCATTCCATTCCAAAAATAAAAAGCAAAGCAAACTGTGCTGCTTATATACTGCCCCATAGTGCTTCAAGCACTCTCTGGGCGGTTTACAAGTTATTTATGGAGGCTACACATTTCACACCCACACCCACAAGCTGGGTACTCATTTTACCGACCTCGGAAGGATGGAAGGCTGAGTCAGCCTTGAGCCGGCTACCTGGGAATTGAACCCCAGGTCGTGAACACAGTTTTGGCTGCAGTACAGCAGTTTAACCACTGCACCATGAGGCTCATACACATTGATTCTTCTGCTGGCTTTTGACCTTTCCCTTCTACAAAAACATAATTCAAATATGGATTCCATATCTCTTTAAAATCAGTAGTACCTTTGTAATAACTTATGACTTGCTTCCTTCCAAATAGTTTCTTTGGAATGATTTTAGATTTCTTTTTCTCCCCCCCCCTTCAGGGTTACTGGTTTCCGAATGCTATGATAGCAACACAAGGACCGCTCCCAGACACCATTGATGACTTCTGGACCATGATTTATCAAAGAAAAGTGAAAGTGATTGTAATGTTGACGGAGCTGAAAGATGACACCCAAGTGAGTTAGTCTCCCTGAATCTGTAATATGACCTGCTGTCTCCTTCAGAGAGATAGTAAAAGTCAGGTTTTAAAAATTAAAATGAAATTTTAACTTCCATAAGCCTTGGGGGGGGGGGGAAAGTATCAGCTGCAAAAGAAGAGGAGTTTGACCCCATGCGTGTTTACTGAGAGATAATGTATATCCTACCTGGTTTAATGGGGCTTGTTCCCATGGAAGTGTGCAAAGCATGGCAGCAGTTAAGCAAAATTTATGTTGCTTGTAGAAGGCATATGCTCCATAGACACACCATTGCTTTGCAGAGCTTATATAAACACCCTGCTACTGCCACATTTGACATACAGAATAGACACTCCGTGGTTGTTTTCCTCTGAGCATGAATTCTAAGCTTTGAATTTAATAACTTGCAATTGTCACTGTGCCTGATACTATCACTATATCAATGACTATCCTAGATTTCCTTGATATGCACTATAAAGTACTACTACTAATGATAATCATGTTCTGTCAAGGCAATTCCAACTCATGGTGACCCTTTTCAGTGTTTTCCAGGAAGAGAATACTCAGAAGTAGCTTACCATCCTCTTCTTCTGGGGGTGTCATGGGACTGTGCTGCTTGCTCATGGCTGCACAGGCTAGCCCTATACACAGGAGACACAGTGGAGAATCAAACTCCCAACCTCTGTCTTTTCCTAACCCACTGAGCTATCTAGTCTGGACAGCTATCCAGTACTAACACACATATTTAACAGAGAAGGACTATCAGCTTCTGTTAGACCTCAAATGAGATAGCTGGCTTTTCTCAAGTTCCATTATATCTGACATTTCCATGCATATAGTGCACATGCAGTCTTCATCACTGCACATCCATTGGTCCATGTTTTTCAGTCCTATGAATGGCTTTTCCTTCTCCAGGCAGGAGTGGGATACTAAATGTGACCCTCTTGAATAAGCATCTCAAGAGAAACTTGCCAGCTCTTTGCACTTCTCTCCCTACCCATACCATCCACCCCCCTCAAATACTACTGCTTTGGAATGGGGACCCCTGATTTAGCCTTTCTTTCATTCTAGGAACTCTGCACACAGTACTGGGGAGATGGAAAAATGTCATACGATAGCATCACAGTTGAACTGAAAGATGTCAACAGTTGTTCCAGTTATACTGTTCGGACGTTTGACGTAACTTATGGAAAGGTAAAATATGAACTGATGTGTCAGCTTGTCTGACTTCTTAGAGGGAGAAGAATGGATTAGCCCAATGTCTTTGTAGCAGATCTGCAGACATATACTTCATGAGCAGGGGGTTGGACTCGTAGGTCCCTTCCAACTTCATTATTCTATTGTTCTGTATGTTCTGTTTAGCTGTACTGTTAGTCCCATTCTCAAAGTTAGAGGTAAGGACCTCCAGATATTTAGACTCTGGCACCCATTTTTTTATACCACTGATGGTCCAGGTGAGGCTGATGGGAATTGTTGATTAAAGCACTGGAAGAACCAGATGTTCCTTACTTACGCCATAAATGGTTCTCAGCTATATGGCTCTTATTACCTCTCAGCTGCTTTGTCATGTTTTGAAGAACTTCTCAGTGTACCTTTTTCTTGCAGAGGAAAGAAGCTCGAAAAGTGTTTCAGTATCAGTACCATAAATGGAAAGGTTATGCTCTCCCAGAAAACCCCAGTGACTTGGTCACCATGATTCGAGATCTCAAGCAGAAACTTCAGCCAACAGCTGAAACATACATGCACAGCAAGAATGCTCAAGTTGTTATTCACTGCCGGTGGGTGTATATTTCAGACATGTGTTAACATGTTTTGAATCTAGTTTTGATATGAATTTCTTTCTGTCATATGTTGTCTTTGCTTTGGGATTGACCACATGGCATGAGTACAATATATGGTGTGTTAGACTCTAGGAACAGGATTACAGCTCTAGGAGTTCCATCCTTGAAAATCTTTGTCCATGGTGTGGCAATGATGGTGATGGACCTTTGAGACTGCTGTTGAATACATACATCAAAGTACAAAATACATACATTACTCCTATTCAAAGGCTGCTGTGAGGAAACCTTGATTCTTCCCCCACCCCCCGTTCTGACAGCTGTCTGTTCACCATGTCCCTTAGTGCAGTGGGTCCCGAACTTTTTGACATCAAGGGCCAGTTTCATTGAAGACCATTCTCCCAAAGACCAGGAGTGGTGGTGGTGGCAGGTGCCCATCCATGCATGTGTGCATGGGGCATGCCTCCATCTGTATGTTGGAGCAGGGGCATGGGGCATGCATGCATGTGGCATCTGTGCATGCGTATGGGGGGGCGGTTAGGGGTACGTGTGTGTGTGTGCATGCAGGAGACGTGCATGCATCTGTGACAGGGGCATGGGGCATGCATGCATGTGGCAGGCAGGCGGGCATCCGTCCGTACATGCATCTGTGCATGCGTATGGGGGGCGGTCAGGGGTGTGTGTGCGTGCATGCAGGAGGCGTGCATGCATCTGTGAGTGCATGCAATGTGTGTGTGTGTGTGTGCATGCGTGTGGGAGTGTGTGCCTGCGAGTGGTCTTGTGCACATGCATACATGTATACACGCATTCCTTTGGCCCTTGAAAATCTCTCTCAGCGGCCCGGTCCTTCCAAGGCCACGGAGTGGTACTGGTCCACAGCCTGAGGGTTGGGGACCCCTGGCTTAGTGAGTTAGGTGTCTGGCTGCAGAGCCAAAGGTTAGGAATTTGTTTCTGCACTATGTCTTCTGGGAGAAGAGCCAGCCTGTGCAGCCTTTGGGAAGCTGAATAGCCCCAGGCCACCTCCAGAAGAAGAGAATGAATGGCAAGCCACTTCTGAGTGCCCTACTCTATACCTTGAGAATCCTTGAAAGGGTAACCAGGAATCAAAATTGACTTAATGGCATGCAATAAGAGTGATTTACCTCTGCTCCTTTTCTTTGATTACCTGCTTCACAGGGAGTCCACCTATCATATTACTCTTAACTTTACTCAGAAGTCTTCAGAGAGGAACTTGGACGTATGCCATATTTCTATTTGCCCAGCTGTAGCATCCAGTGCCACAATTTTCTGCCAGATGTTCTGGCCTCACTAATATTCCGATACAGGTGGCAGTTTGGTTTTCATTTATCATCTGGATTAAAAAACAAGCTTAAATATTTGAACATGCCATTTGTTTATTAAAAATGTATCATTGAGATTGATGATGTCATGAACTATGTTTTCAGGATGATAAATAAAATCCAAGATTATCAATCACTTCAGTTGTCAGAATTCAGGTTAGAGCAGTGCAATCAAAGGTAAAAAAGAAAAGACAAGACAAATAATACAATTCAATAATGTCTTAATATAGTGTGTTCTAGCCGAATGGATAACTCAGTGAATTAAATATCTGGCTGCAGAGCCACAGGTTGGGAGTTCAGTTCCCCACTGTGCATCCCAGAAGGGCCAGCTTGTGCAGCTTTGAGCATACTGCACAATTCCAGAGCTACATGCAAAAGAAGGGATTGGTGAACTACTTCTGAGGACTCTCTACCTAGAAAACCTTGGAAAGGGTTGCCATAATTTAGAACTGACTTGACAGCAAACAGTTGTTATAATTATTCTAATATGTCCTCTTCAATATGCATTTTGTGGTCCTCTCTAGATTCCAAACATGTTGAGTACTATTATCAAACCATTCTAGAAACATTCTGGTTGTCCTGCTGTTTGGGTGGTGAGGACAAGAGGAATGGTAGAGGAGCAAGCCTTGGAACTGGGCTTCCTCTCCCAAGGAGAGGAGTGAAAAAAATCATACTAAGGCACTGCTGCTTTTTTTTTGCCACATTACTACTGTACACCAGAGATCTCCAAACCTTTCACACAGAGGGCCACATAATATATTTGCAATATTTTTGAGCGCCGAAGGAATGCATGCATATGCATGCACTCCCACCCACCCACCTGGATGTCCGCATGCCCACAGACCCATCCATCCACCCGCCTGCCTGCCCACACTCACACACACCTACCCATGCACATGCATGCACACATGGACGGGCTGGATAAAAAGGCCAGGCAGGCCAGATGTGGCCCTCAGGCCGTACTTTGGAGACCCCTGCTGTAGACCAACATTCTTAATTTTCTGGGATATTATTTTGTAGTGATGGGTCCAAGCAAACAGGATTATTCTGTGCCTTGCTAAACCTGTTGGAAAGTGCTGAGACAGAAGGAGTAATAGACGTTTTCCAAGTTGTGAAATCTCTTCGCAGAGCCAGGACGGGAATAGTTTCCTCATTTGTAAGTATATCATCCTACTAGGTAGTTGGATTCCCTCTCCCTCCCTTATCTCTCCCCTCTCCTCTTTTTCTACAGCTTGCTTATTCTGTATTCATACTGCCTGTATCACTATACTTTTATAGATACATCAAACTTAGATCAATTGCGAAGAGTGAGGTTCGCAGCTTGGGGATTCATCTGGACCCGGCGCTCACCATGGAAACTCAGGTGGCGTCAGTAGTCTGCTCCGCCTATTTCCATCTTTGGCGGATTGCCCAGCTGCGTCCCTATCTTGATGTTGGGAGCTCACAACTCTGGACCATGCACTTGTAATCTCAAGATTAGACCACTGTAATGCGCTCTACGTGGGGCTACCTTTGAGATTGATGTGGAAGCTTCAAATGGTGCAGAATGCAGCGGCCAGACTTCTCAGTGGGATGAGAAACATCAACATATCTCCCCCCCTCTGGCCGCCTTTCACTGGCTGCCCATTTGCTTCCGCATTGATTTCAAAGTTTTAATAATTACATATAAAGCCCTAAACGGTTTAGGACCTCGATACTTGGCGGAACGCCTCCTCCCACCTAGATCTACAGTGGTGCCTCGCACAACGATGTTAATTGGTTCCAAAAAAAATGTTCTGTGAAAACATCGTTCTGTGAAACACCATTTCCCATAGAGATGCATTGAAAACTGGATAATCCGCTCCAATTGGAACGGATTGCCGTCCTTAAGCGAAAATCCCCATAGGAAATATTGTTGTGTGAAACAATGTATCCACCATTCAAATGCATTGAGTAGGCTTCAAGGCATCTCAATGGGGGAGAAAAAAATTCATCAAAAATTAACGAAGGCTCAGAACAAAGCCAGATTAAGTTTGCACAGGTTTCACAAGCTGCACTAATGAGTCCAAGTATTTAAAACAGTTTCTGAGTCTTCGTTAATTTTTGGTAAAAAAAATTCTGCCCCATTGAGATGCATAGACCCCCCCCCCAACCAAGAAGCAGCATGCAGGAAAAAAAAATTAAAATCAAGTTTAAACTTGGACATTCAAATCCCACACAAATCCACAGAAACCCCCAGCCAAAACCCCCCCTGCAATTTCCCCAATGGAAAAAAAAACCATAAACAAAGCCAGACAGACCCAAATTCCCCCTTGCAAAAATCATCAGAGTTTTGCAATACAGTACAGTACAGATACACTGTTAACCCCACCACCCACCCAGGAGAAGAAATGCAAGCTTACCTTTGAAAGTTCTCCAGCACAGAAAGCACCCACAAGACAGAGCAAAGAGGCAAAGCCAACCTTTGAACTGCATGTGGGAAAGTAAACCCAGGATGCATGGGGAAGGTTTTTTATCCCTTCCCTGCACAGGCACAATGCATCCTGGGTACAGGCAGTTAGAAGAACAAATTAGCATTGCCAAACAGCCACTTTTCCAGCTCTTTTTTGAAAACATCGTTAAGTGAAACGGGACCCAAAATGTAATCGTTCTGTGAAGCATGGTCCCAAAATCGTTGTGCGAAAATTCCCCATAGGAAACATCACTGTGTGAGGCACCAAATTTTTCAGAAAAAGCCATCGTTGTGTGAATTTATCGTTGTGTGAGGCACTCGTGCGAGGCACCACTGTACTCATATCACTCGTTCTAGCCAGGAGGGGCAGCTGAGGAGCCTAATACCGAGGGAGGCCCAGAAGGAAAAAACAGGGCCTTCTCGGCAGTGGCTCTCCACCTTTGGAATCATCTCTGAGATCCGTTTGGCCCCTTTGCAGGGTATTTTTAAAAGCTAATTTAAAAGCTGGCTATTTAGGCAAGCCAGACACTACTTAATTTATCTTTTTATCTTCCATCTTGAATGACTGTTTATTGTTGTAAAATTGTTGTAAAATTGTTGCCATATTATAATTGCAGTGATAGTACATGAAACTGGTTTCTTTCAATGAAAATAGGCAGAGCTAACCACAGTCTAGGACCTGGACTTCATAGTAAACTGCAGTTAGTTGAAAATGGAAGCAAATCTTCTGGACTTTCAGAGATGTACCAAAAGAAAGGAGTACAGGTGCCTGAGGCTCACCAACACTCATTGATGTAAAGTTAAATCATTGTTTAACATTGCATGTGAACAAGGTCAATTGCTGGAGTGAATGGGGATAGTGTTTTTTTTAAAAAATATATATATAATTCAAGAAACCTGTTCATTAACATGGAATTCTGAACCTAGAGGGCTGCTGACTGTCAGCTAGTTTTGTAATGGTGGTTGTCAAACTTTCTTCTGTGGAAATTTTCCAGAAGGTTTGAAGGTACAGTATATTGTAGGACACATTGCTGCCATAAGCTTCTGAAGAACTCTGGGTACCTGTACCACCATTTGAAAATCCAAGTTGAAAACAATGACTATACAACGACAGTTTACATAATTAAAAGGCAATATTTATAGCTAAGAACAATGAGTATAAAGAGGCATCTTGCATAATCAAAAGGCAATATTAAAGCTACAAACAATAAGTATACAAATATTAAAAAGAAAAACAATCAAATGTCAGTCTGAGAAATGGAAAACCCAAAAATGGAAAACGCAAGTGGTACTAGAAACGCAGTCAAAGCAGTAATGCATAAGAATCTATCTAAAAATCATACTCAGGTGGCCAGTCACTGAGGGAAGTCTTGCCTGAAGAGAAAGGTCTTTGCCTGCTTGTGGAAGGACAGCAAAGATAGGACTAGTCTGGCGTCCTGTGGGAGGGAGTTCCACAGTCTGGAGGTAGCATCAGAGAAGGCCCTCTCCTGGGTCCCCATCAGATGTACCTCTGAAGGTGGTGGTACCACGAAAAAGGCCTCTCCTGGTGATCTTAACACCTGGGCCAGGCTCATAATGGGAGACACAGTCTTTGAGATAGCTAAGGCTCAAGCAATTTAGGGCTTTATAGGTTAAAACCAGCACTTTGAATTGTGCCTGGAAACTGATCGGCAGCCAGTACAGCTGCTGTAACAGGCAGATTTTGTGATCCCTATGGCCAGCCCCAGTCAGCAATCTGGCTGCTGCATTTTGGACCTGCTGAACTTTCCAAACACTTTCCATCGGCCGCCCCACATAGAGTATGTTACAGTAATTCAGACAGGAAGTAACTAGGGTGTGTGTCACAGTGGCCAGATCAGATCTCTCAAGAGATAAACATAGCTGGCACACTAATTTTAATTGTTTGATGCACTCCTGGCCATCACCAAAACTTGGGCATCCAGACTCAGGGATGAATCCAGGATCACACACCCCCCCAAGCTGCACACCTGGGATTTTTTTCCCCAGTGGAAGTGTAATCCCTTTCAATACTGGCTGCATCCCTGTTCCTTGATCTGCCTTTCAATCTTGATCTGCGTATCCTAATTCCTTCTTTCTTTTTAAAATCCTGTTTAGGAAGAGTATCAGTTTCTTTATGATGCTATTGCCAGTGTATACCCTGCCCAGAACGGGCAAGTGCAAAAGGCCCAAAGCCAAGAGCACAAAGTGGATATTCCAAACGATGTAAAGAAAGAAGAAGAGGCTAACTCGCTGGACGCTGCCCCCTGCCCTTCAGCTGAAGGAACCAGTGTAGAAATGAGTGAACAACATTTCAAGGCCCAGGAAGACCCCAGGGAAGCAGAAAGCTCTTCTAATGGACCCTCCAATCCGGTTTTAATGGTCTAGAGCCATCTACTTGTATGTACAAATTCTCTGTCCATGCCATAGAGTAGTTTCAGCAGTACATTTAAACCAGGAAGAGAAGTGGGCATTTCCTGAACCATCCCGTCCGCTGGAATGTTTTCAAGAAAAGGTGTTGGAAAAGCCTGAAAGTGGGGCTGTTCTCCTCCCAGAGGTACGACAATGTAGTAGGTAGAACTTGTGGGTTGCTATAGTGCACTGTGGATTTTATTTGCAAGCTTATCTATACATGTGCCATTTTAAATTGTTCAGTATTCATTTTATTCTGTAATAATTGCTAGATTGCATAGCACTGAGCTCTGTTTAAAAACAGGCTTTTCTATAGAAAAATGTCCCAGTTTTGTATTTCTTTAAAAGGAAGGAAAAGAGTTAGTGTGAAGATTAGATGCATAATTATCAGCTATATGCAGTCATAGATGTACATTCAAGCAGATATCTGAAGACGGAGGAGAGGGGTATATTTCTCAGATAATAGCCCGCCAGATTACACTTTGGGCATGAGTGTCTTCTTATTAGAAGGAGTGGAAGAGGATCAACAGTTTCACTGGCCGTGCAAGCTCTTAGTCTCTGGATCACAAATGTAGTGATCATAAGTTAATTTTAAGCACCCCCTTCAGTAGGGAACTGGCTCTAGAAAACCGGTGGTAGTTCTCGTGTAAACAGAGAGCTCAACAGATTGCCCTTGCACGTGCTGAGCGTTCCTTGATAACGGACATCCTGAGATCTCACTCGTGAAGGGATTGAAACCTCCGTGGAGCACCAGGTAATATAACGATCCAACAGTCATGAATTAACCGAAGAGAGTTATGATCCATCCAGTGCATGAAGTGGATGAGTTGCCATCCAAAGCCCTGAAATTGAGCAAAGGGCATTCGCAAAGGGCAAAATCCAAGTTTAAGGCTTGCCATATCAAAATGTGGCCTCTGGAGGTCACTGTGTTCATAGAAATCAACTACTGTACTGAGCATCAAGACATCTGATTATCTGAGAAACATGGAATGTTTTGCAAAATGTGGGAGGAACATTCTTCAGCTGACATTTTTGCTTCATGTTAGCACAGCTGGGTTCCCCTCCACCAGTATTCTTATTTTCCCTGGCTTGAATGGAACTTTCCTTAGAAACTGTTTTCCTCTCCTCTCCTTCAGGTTTTTGTATATATCTTTCTTTCTTTCTTTCTTTCTTTCTTTCTTTCTTTCTTTCTTTCTTTCTTTCTTTCTTTCTTTCGATGTGCAGGTTTCAAAATGTTTTATGAAAAAAACATGTTTTTCTGTATTAAATTTCTGACCATTTCCATTTTGAAATAAAAATGTTGGATGAAAAAAAATGTTGGGAAAAAAAAACAATTATCCTAAGACCCACATTAGGTGAGTTGAATGCATATAAATTACAGATCATAAACTGGTGAATTTTATAATGCAAAATTATCTTCTTTCAAGCCTGAACTAGACATTATAGGGGGGTGAAGTTTGGGTAAACAGCTTATCCTGGTACGATGGGACTTAAAAAAGGAAACAATATTTCATTACTATTCTGGAGAAGATGAAAGAAACAATGTTATGGAACTGTCAGGTGGTCCTGGAGTACTGCAAACTGCTGCACAGTCCAACACAATCACAAGATACGTGCTTTCGGAGAAAGCACTTCAGTTCAAACAATGAAGACTAAAGACTGACCAACACTGATTCCCCTGAAACTAGAGTCCTATTCAGGCTTTACCTACTAGGCTTTACTCATCACTGGAAGAAAGGAGTAGTCCAGTCCCACCCATTCGCTTATCACTTCTGTTGCCTGCTTACACATGGAAGGTGGTGGGTCTGGCAAGAGAAGGTTTTGCTCTCTTTGAGAGCTCTCTATATATCCTGGGACTTTGGAAAGTCATGTAGAGAGAGCTGCATGGATAGAAGAGGCTGTCCCTCTTCATACTCTCCATATGTAGCATGGAACAGAAGTGACAGTGGAGGGGACACAGCTAGAACACTTCTCTTTTCCCAGTGGTGAGTTTGCTGTAAAAGATGACACCTGTTTAAGGTTTAGTAGTCACTTCAGAATCAAGATCAGAATGGGCAGAGCCCTCCTCTTAGGCAGAGGGAAGGAATTGCCTCACACTGTAGATGCTGAGACCTGGCTGCAAAATGTTGGAGGGGAGAGTTACGTGACCTTCGGCCAGCCTTGTTGCCTTCAGGTGCAGAGGAAGGCACTATCCTCGGCCAGCTGGCTTTTGTAGATAGATCAGCAGATAGTGCGATCTTTTTTTATTGCCTCAGGCAGCACAGTGTCTTTGGGTGGTCTTGTCAGATAGCAGGCAGCTCAAATGACTTTTTGCCTGAAATTCTGCAGATGGTTCACCTATTCGTAATGGAGAATAAGGGATACAAAGACCCCTATCATTCAGAAAAGCTCATCTGGCCAAATCTGCATGGAACCAGTGGGTACAGAAAAGGGCACCACCGCCTTGGAATTGGCACTGCTACTGGCTGCAACCTGTGTTTGGTTGGATGTCTTTGGTATCCCCCCCCCCTTACTATTGGACGAGCAATCAGCCCTGTTTATCCATTGCTCAAGCATCCTGGGATGAGTAAGACCAAGAAGAAAACTGGGATCATTCAAGCAAGAAATGTACTCAGAACAAAACTAACTCCCTCCACCATGACCCAAAATTATTGGGGATGAGACTCCCCCTTGCCACTGTCCTCAAGCCTCCCCCTTGTTTCTTTATCCCAACGGTTGGTTACTAGACTTCCCAATAACAAAAAAATAGGAAAATGCATAAGAACCATCAGAGAGCAATCTGAACGCATCTGTTTCTTGGGGAGGATATCTGTCCTACAAGGTTCCATGAAGCCTAATCCTTATCAAGTAGTGTTGATAAGCTGATCATGAAGTTGATTATCAAGATCTGTTGATGATAACACAACTGCAGGCAGTTTCGCCCATGATCCCCTCTGAAAGAAGACATGGGATCTAGCAAAGAAGTATGGACACTTGTAATGCCCATGTACCAAGTAGGGACAGAGAGAAAGCTCTACACATGTTGCAACAACAAACACCTGTTTAGTGCTCCCTACATACATTGTGTTTCTTCACATAACTACTATTGTCAACAGAGTTCACAAAATCTGATGCCTTGACCCGAGGGCTTGAAAGGGGAATTCCATAATTTCATAGAGAATGTATATGTTACCTTCAAATTCATGGCGAATACTAGTATTGGCTAGTCACAATGGATGCCAATTACTTCCAGAAACAGAACCTACTGCTTCTGATGCTAGTTGCTGAGAAACATGAATGAGAGAGTGCCTACTGCTTGGGAGCTTCCCATAAGGATCTGGTAGATGTGAAACTAGATCCTTCATGTTGCAGGGCGCAGTGGTTAATTCCTATTCTTGGGTAATATGATTGCATGATACATAAAGAAGTAAATGTGATCTGTCGTGCCACATACGTTATGTCTCAGTTTTATGTACACGCATCTCTCAGAAATACTTAGGAATGATTGGTAAGTTCATTTTGTTCAAGTTTTGATAAACATGTTCATACCTCTTTGTATATTTGACAGAAAACTTCAGATTATGAGGGACAAAACAAAGCAGACAATGCATCACAACTTGTTTTTATCTCATTCAAAGTTCCTTATTACTTCCTGTAATTCATGTGGTTTTGCATAGGCAGAAAGTTGAAGATGGATTTGGATCTGGGTTGGTAACTCTTATCCAAGTGTCTCCCCCTTCTTAGACCATTTATTCACCAGTATATTCACAGTGGAATCTTAAGTCACCCAGTTTGACGTCTGGCTGACAGCAGCTTCTTGGCTGATGTGTGGCGGACATCCTTTCTCTCCTGAGAAAACTTTGCTAGCATTCACATTTGTAAATACAAACTTCATGGCTTCAGAGATTTGCAGGATTCAGGAACAATCAGACTGTTCCACAATTATGTCCTCTCAGTAAAGGAAGAAAGTTGCAACAAGGGAAATATATATATTTTTTTAAGGAGCATCTCTTTCTGGATTCTAAATAATTACCTACCTTTGTCCACCAGGCTGCGCTAAAGCATTTTCAGTAATATTTCAATATACATGTGAGTAATATTTCAGAATACAACAGGAGAATAACGTGGATTGTAACCCATAGTCATTGGTGCAGCTGACAGTGAAATTAATACAGTGTCCACCGCACTCTTAAAAATCTGCACAATCTGTGTTTAAAAACCTTTTGGATCTGCTTCGAGTCCAGTGCTTAGATGAGTAATCTGTCGGGAATCTAAAGCTAACTTGAACCAGCTGCAATTTACTGGATTATATTTAATAAATTTATACTTTTAAATCACGCTACCTGTGTGCTTAGTGTATATTCAATAGGCAACCCACACTAATTGCTGCACACACTCCATGACTAGTGGATTCCAGATTTTTGATGGATCTGTGTGGTAGATCCAGTGTGATGTAGTAGTTAGAATGTTGGATTGAGAAGATCCAGGATTTAGTCTCCATTTAGCCATGGAACTTTAGGTGACTTTAGGAAGGAAGATTGGAGGGTGTCTTATGCTGAAGTCAGATCCTTTGTATATCTAGCTCAGAACTATCCATTTTGGCAAGCCTTATTGAAGATCCCTGGTTATGCTTTGGAGTCTCCCACCCAAGTACTAACCAGGCTTGAACCTGCTTAGCTTCTGAAAACAGAGAAGATTGAAGATCCCTGGTTATGCTTTGGAGTCTATTGAGGTCTATTCAAGGTAGTTCAACCAGCACAACCTTTTGTGTTGTAAGCAATGTTCCCTCTAAGCTGCATGGGTGTGTGGCCACACAGCACTGTTTCAGTGATACACAGCCACAGTCAGTGTTGCTGCACATTTGTTTCTTGTTGTGGCCCCCACCCAGCGCTGTCAGAAAATTAGAGGGAATGTTGTTTGTAAGACTAAGATGGGGAGGAGGCAAGCATTATAGAATGTAAATCAATAAGGTAATGATACGATGGGGGAACAAAGGGACTTGAGATCCTCCACAGCCAATATATGTGGATCCTGCTTCCGCCTCTTCCAGTGCTGCAGCAACACCATCAAGCGATCGGAGTCTTGGGATGGGATAAGTACTTCCTGTAATTCGTGTGATCACAGCAACTACTCAAAGAGAGTCTTTAAAAACAAAATAGTTTGTGATTACAAAAGAAGGATACACAGAAATTGCATGTTTCTTGTTCCCTTTTCATGTAACCCTTCAGTACCCTTTCACTCTTTGCCAAATTACCTAAGAAATTTTCATCCAATAGCATGTAGTTTCCCAGAGGTTGTCAGCACCCATATGAACCTCCAGGGCGAACAGCCATTTTGAATCTCTAAAAGGGACTGCAGCACAATGAGAGGTGCTCTTTGTTTTAGTCAATCCTTCTGGGATGACCATGTCCTGAGCTCCAGGTTGTTGCCTGTCTGTATGCCTGCCTGCCTGCTGTGTCTTGAATCCTTACCTTATTTTCCATTTTTCTTGATGGCGTGGCTGTTCCCCTCCATTTCTTTATTTGTGCTGCTGCCAGGCAGACTGCCTGTGTCAGCATGCCTCAATGGGATTATTATTATTTTTAACATCCTCCTCCATGTACTTGGGGATGTCGCCCAAGCTTGCTTGACCATTTTTGTTCCTTTCCTTTCTTGGATTATTTTTGCTACTGCCTGGCCTGCCTACTGATACCTACTAGACTCGCCAAAGAGAAGAAATAGCAACCAGTGGAAATTTGCTTGTTTTCTAGAAGTGTTGGTTTGTGGATGGATGGATTAAATTGTATTTTGATTTTATTACTTGCTTGCTGTTTTTGATTTTTGGGAGAGGAGAGACTCTGTGTTTTAAATGTTGCTATTGCTTTCATGTGTGAGGGGCACTTTCCTTATTTGAATGATTTTAGAACATAAGGAGAGCCCTGCTGTATCAGGCCAAGGGCCCATCTAGTCCAGCTTCCTGTATCTCACAGTGGTCCCACCAGGTGCCTTTGGAAGCACGAGACAACTAGATAACTGTCTCCTGATACCCCTCCCCTGCATCTGGCGTTCGGAGGTACAGTGGTGCCTCGCTTGACGAGGATAATTCGTTCAATTGAAATTGCTGTTAAGCGAAATCCTCATCAAGCGAAATGAAAAAGCCCATTGAAATGCATTGGAAACCAGTTCAATGCGTTCCAATGGGCTAAATCCCTCAGCGCCCAGCGAAGATCCTCCATAGGGCAGCCATTTTTGGTCCCTGTAAAGCGAGGAATCTGTCCTAAAACACAGCGGGGAGCCATTTTGCACACCGGGCGGACATTTTAGAGCTGCCAATCAGCTTTTAAAATCATCTTGTAGCGAAAAATCAGTTCCCGAAGCAGAGAACTGATCGTCGGTAAGCAATTTTTCCCTGTCAAAACATCATTTTGCTATTGCAAAAGCGATCACAAAAACTTCATCATCAAGCGGTTTTGTCGTTTAACGAGGTAATTGTTAAGTGAGGCACTACTGTATCTTCCTTTTAAGCCTGGAGATTATACATCCCCCTCATGGCTTGTAACCTGCAATGGAAGTTTCCTCCAGAAATCTGTCCTATCCCCTTTTAAAGGCATCTAGGCCAGATGCCATCATCACATCCTGTGGCAAGGAACTCTACAGATTAACAACACGCTGGATAAATATTTTCTTTTGTCTGTTCTCACTGTCCCACCACTCAATAGGAGTGGATGTCCCCTGGTTCTGGTATTGCGTGAGAGGGAAAAGAGCTTTCCTCTATCCTCTTTATCCATCCCCTGCATGACTTTGCTATGATCAGTGTTGTTGCTGTTGTTAATGATGATATGATAACATAAAACAGTGCCTATGTAGGTTGGATGATTATTTTTCTTTCTTATACAAAGTTGTCTGCTTTTGGATCACATTACTTCTCCGTTGCCTTGCCACTGCTTTTTTTGGAGTAATTTTTAAGGGCGTTGAGGGGCTTTTGGAGTGTCAGAACACAAATGGGGAAACAAGAATTGGAAACTCAGAATTGGTTTGCCATTGACTGAGGCTTTCTCTTCGGTGTAAAGCGAAAGGACTGGTACATGAAAAATAAAAACATTTTCACAGGGCGCATCTCTAGTCAAAGAAGCCAGTGAAGGTTTCCAGTGACATACTGAGCATTTCGAGTATGTGTGTGGCCATCTGGTAGACCTCTCTGTCTGCTGGTGAAGCAACACTTTCCCTGTTTCCAAAGGCTTTTCAGCCCTATTCTTGGCTGAACAGCAATGGAATAGACATTATCTTGCTTTTAAAATGAACACATTTTATTCAAATAGAAACTGAAAAGCAAAAGAAGCCAAAATAAATAGTAGTTGTCATCAATCAAATATGAGTGGTTAAATAAATAGAAAGATGAAACTTTTTTGGTCACTATTGGCAAAACTGTGTAAGCTATGGTACCTATGCATGGCAACATGGTCCTCCTTGACTTTGAGAGCTATTACAAAAGAGTAACCAGGTCCTCAGCCTTTGAAACAATCTGAATTCAAAGTGTCAGATGACTGAGGCCAATTGCAAGTAGACTCAGGAGGAAGATGGGTCAGGGGGTCAGGGGGCTTTCTCCTCCTCCTCCTCCTCCTCCTCATCCTTCATTAAGGAACCTGGGTTAAATAAAACACAAGCTTATGAACAGGATATGGTTTGAGTCGGACCAAAAAAAGAACAGAGGAAAATGAATCTTTGTCTATGCAGGTGTTCAACTGCTAGTCTGCTGGACGTCTTTTGGGGGAAGTGGGCATGCCAGATTAAACAACAGATGTTGCTGCCAACTGTATGTTTGTGTAGCCTCATTTCAGCAAAACCTTATGTAAGGCAAGAGTTCCTTTGCCATCGCAAGCACAATGTTGAGAGTTGTGGAAATGGACTTACGCACAAGCGTTCGTTTGGGCCAGCTGACACTCTATAAATTCTGCTTATTTGGGCCAGCTGATACTCTGTATTTATACACTCCGATCATGAGGATGGGATGTGTTGGGGTGGCCCTCCAAGAGTTTCTGGAACCTACAGCTCCTACCATCCCTAGCCAGGAGTGGATGATTGTTGCAGATGAGCAAAATCTAAAGGATCTCACTGATGGTATCTCTCTGTGGAGAGCAGGATAATTATAGATCTGAGGCTGATTCATAGAAGCATCTTCATGACTGCTTTGGTAACAGCTGGTAAAATGAAGACAATGTCTGCAAATCTTTACTCAACAAAGTCCTTATTCTGCCAGCTGAGATGTAATGCTTTAAAAACTATTAAAGGAGACATTTCTGTGAATTGCCAATTACAGATGTCTTCTGGCAACACCTCACTCCTTAGGCTGTGTAGTTTACACCAACAACATAGCCCTGATCCCTCAACTTGATACTAAACATGCTGATGGTGGGGTTGGTTGGGGGATTTGGCAATCAAGGATGAGTGTATCACGGGCGTGTGGCTTGAGATATGTAGCCAAGACCATTGTGCTACCTGGGGACATTTTGCTAAGGCAGAACATTTCATTACCTGACTAGTATCCCCACCACACAGAAGTCAAGATGCATAGGCCACCCAATTGTTGGGCACACGTCATATAGCCCCCCCCGCCCCCAGCTATCTTTACCCTAGGCAGTAAAATACCAAATAAAGTAACCATGTTGTGACTTCTTTTGGCCATCAAAAATCTCTAGCCTGAAGCATCAACCTCATTCTACCTAGTGGCTTTCTCAATCCTCCCTCAACGTATAAAGGAATCCATCTGAACAACCTGAATGGATGTTAGTACTCACCCAGCAGTAGCCAGCAGTGGCACCTTGAAGGTCGAAGGACAGGAAGGAAACTTGCCCCAATTCGTGCTGTCAATGACATTTGAATGGGGGCTGACAAGTTGCCCATTCACAGATCTCTTGAAATCTCTTGAGACTTTGCTGAGTAGAAACGTAGGGTGCCCAGTGCTCCATCGCCAAAAAGGAGGCTGGACATCATCCAAAAGAAAGACAAGAAACACCCAGAAGGAGATCATTCTCCACAAGAAAGGACATTGTTGCATTAAATTAACATATGAGAATTTAAACTAATATATTCAATCAGATATTAGTACTATAACTTAAGTGGAAATGCACTTAAGCTCATCATATTGTACAAGACTACTTTGGGATATAGCATTGAGAAAAAGATGGGTTATATATATTACATAAATAAATAAATAATGTGTATTGCTCATAATTGGAACGCCCTCTGCCTTGTATTTTCTGCAACTTACTGCACATCAATATTTAGAGAAAGAAAATATCTGAAGCTTTTGTTGAAATATGGAGCCCACGGAGTCTACCTTCCCTACCTTTTCTCACGG